TAAGATACTAACTACTCTTGGAGGTAGCGGATTGCGATCCGCTACACTCGTATTGGTTATTGTATAGAACGAAAGGTCGGTGACCTAAACTACGCTTCCTCAAGCGCAAAGCTATGGCAGCCCCGCTGCAGCATAGCTCTCCTCGAGTAGTGTATCTTTCCTTTTCCAGGTGGCCATATCATGTGCCTCCTCCAGTACTCTGTTCTTGTTGTAGACACCATTATACACTTAGTGCAGCGGGGCTGTCGTAGCTTTGCGCTTAGAGAAAGCTTAATTTAGGTCACCGACCTTACGTTCTTCACAAGAACCAGTACGAGTGTAGCGGATCGCAATTCGCTACCTCCAAGAGTAGTTAGAACCTTAACCCAAGGCTAATAACCTCTTCTGTTTAAAAAGTACGCTGTATTTGTTTGTTTTATCTGCAGCAAAACCGCCTAATTTTAGATGTATAGAATCTCCTAAATATATGTAGAAGCATCTAAATACATGCATATCTACTGGCTACCTAGCCACATACCGTATTCTTGTTTGGGTGCAGTCCACCATGCCCATCTCGTGTGACACACACCCTGTTACCAGGGTACGTGTAGCCCCGTTATATATGCGGTGGCCAAACATCCATTAGTTAGCAAAATCATACGTGCGCACCCATAAAACGTGTCGACGGATTAACTCTTCTCCGCAAGAGACGATGCCTTTGACCAGTCTGCTGGTTCCGGCAGAGTACTGGCAGTCCATCAATATGGACTTTAGTTTCGTTCGTTTAAGACGTGTTCTGTAATATCTGGTCGTCTGAGTAAGAACTAATCGTAACATTAATCGGATTTTTGCCAGCTCTTAGTACCCAAGGTACATTTCTCATGAGAGGTATGGGTCTTTCCAACCGCTGCTGCACTGAGCTCAGACGGTACTTTCGAGAAATGACGATCTGTGCGGCTGTATCGCACACATACCGTACTCACATTTATGCGTGGGAATATTTAGCTCTTTTCACTTAGACTTACATTACGTCTCAATTTTGGTCAGAAAATAGTCTTTTTGTTCCTTATCTGCCGAGCTAATTTATTTCTATGTTAATAGAATCTCAAACATTGAAGCTTTAAAGAAAGATTGAGAATGGCGAGTAGATATTACGCGCAAAATGTATATCACAACCCAACAAAGACAATATGGAGGAAAAGTATGGGAAACGATTTCAATAACTTGACCATTTTTCTTGATTGCCAACATCTCGACATTCTTTCTCGTATTATCTTACATATTTGGCCTACGGAATCTACGTGACGTAGAATCATATCAATGCAATGTGTCATTGACAGCACTTTCACATTCTGGAAATTAATTCAAAATTAGTAATTGCAACGTGGTCAAGAATCGAAAGTGTAAGTAAACTAAATACTGAGTTAGGCCAAGGAAAGTCTTGAGATTGCAAGCTCGCCTAACAAAGTCTCACGGAAGACGGGAATTGAGAATTACATATGTCGAATTGACGATAGCTATTGAATCTGATGCGAAGGTGAATTTGCTCGACTATCCACCGCATAGAGCTCATCTGACAATTTCGCAGCCTCGAATGCACAAATTGTAATGCCAGGAAGTTTTCTCCATTGAGTCGCTGTTCGATCGATATATGGCCATCTTCGTAAGATGCTCACTTTCACCTTCAATGTGGGGTATTCGTTCCACGTCATACCATCTGGAAAATGACACAATACCCCAAACTTAGCCGAAACAACAATCGGGCTCGAGCATTCTCAAGCGTTTCGCGTGAGTCAATCTGCAGAACGTCAGGTAGTATTAATCGTATTAGTCGCGTTAAGCCGATCTAAGACCAACATGCCGCAAAAACATTGTGGACATCTGATGGAGCTCGACATGTAGATTTTACCATCTCCAATCGCTCTCGACCCAGTTCTAGGTTCTCCGCCTTGAAATCTCTTTTCTAATCTTCTGGCATGGCTTTGCAAACCTTCAATACAGGATTGGCTTCATCGCGCGCAGAAGAAACAAAGTAGCTTCCACTTCCTTCCGATGCATTTTCTTGACCATGTCATTTATCTGTGTTTTTCGTATCGATAATGAAGCTGACGGCGCAAAGTTTTAACGCCAAGATGATTTCCATTAGAAATAATAGCGTAGATTCACGCAACCGTCCACTGAAAATTACATCGTACGCTTTCGACACATCGCCTCTGCAGTGGATCTCAAAATCAATAAATGGTTCAAGAAATTCCGACTGACGCAATGAAAACTTGCCTTTGATTGTCACCAAAATAATCACCAAGCGTCTCACCAACATACAGATTTTGCGACACTTACAATCATACGCCAAGAGATGAAAATTAAGGCTTGCCATTACTACAGAGCGAGGATAGTTCTGTTTGGTAGATGTCTTGTTTATACAACCGAACAGCACATCAGAAGCCACATCTTGCTAATTGATAACCTTATATTACAGACAGGCGGATGGTGCTGCACCCTGCCTCATTATTTAGTGGAAATGCATGAAAGTCGCCTATTTTTTATACAGCATCAACATCACTGGAGCTAATCTACCCAATTTTTTGTGTATGTAATGAATCTTTAACCCTGAGCTCCAATAATTTTCCCATCACAAGCTTGCACACAAAGTTTGAATAAGCTCCAACTGCACCGCATATATGCGTGGTAATGCTTTTTCTGTTCGTTTGAGTGCATACTGTATCGCACTTTTCGTGTCAGTTCTGAATCCTCACGAGAGATTACAATCGTGAGGCTGGATTGCATTCTAATCCCAATGATAGAAACAGCATCATCCGATCAAGTGTTCGGCATGGTCCATTCCTCACATCGATCTAAGCATCAATTTCCAATTTGACTCGTTTCGAGTACTAACTTCATCCATCATGGTACAAGACACTTCGGATGACTACGCAAAAGTAAATTCCCCGGCGTTTGGTCTCCGTCCGAGTAACACTGCAAGCGACTGTAATCCAAAGCAAGAATTGGATGATGAAATTCACCAACAAACGCACGATTCCGAAGATTCGCTTGCGAAAAAAATATTGCGAGGCATACTTTACGGTGTTGCATCAGTCGCTGCGCTTTATTTTTTCATGGTTGCTGTCAAGCTCATTGGTGACGGCTTTACACTAGCTCTCGGTTGTGATACAAAGGGGGCTTTTGACTTTGCTGACAATCCAGTGGCTGGTCTGATGATTGGTACCATTGCCACTGCACTACTTCATAGCTCCGGTACAGTCACATCTATCGTTGTTGCTCTAGTGGGCTCAGGAGGTATGACAATTCGCCAAGGTGTGTACGTAATCATGGGTGCCAACATTGGAACATGCATTACGTGCATTATGGTAGCATTCGGCCAGGTTGGAGACCGGGCTCAATTCCAGCGCGCAATGGCTGCTGCAACGGTCCACGATATGTACAATTTGTGGTCAGTCTTCGTGCTTTTCCCTCTTGAAGTCCTTTTCCATCCGCTTGAAAAACTATCGGTCGCCATGTCAGACGCCAAGACCGACGGTGGTGCGTTTTCAAGCCCTGTTGATGCTATCGTAAACCCGTTGGCAAAACAATTAATTGTTGTAGACAAGAAGGCTATCTATAATGTTGCCACCGGTGATGAGCAATGTCTTCCCGATCACTCATTTAACACCGGAGGCGTGTTTGAAGGCTCGGGTTTAAGTGACAGTGGCATTGGTGGCATCACAGTCGTAATTGGCTTTTGTATCTTGGTCTGCTCTTTGCTCATGCTGGTCAAGATGCTTGCCAAGGTGTTCCTGGGTCCAACGAAGCGCCTTATTGCTAAGCTTCTGAACTACAATGGTTATGTCAATATTATCGTTGGAACTTTGATCACGTTTTGTGTTCATTCATCTACAGTCGTGACATCTACACTAACCCCTTTGGCTGGATTGGATGTTGTTAAACTGGAGCAAGTATACCCGCTTGTAATTGGAGCCAATCTTGGCACAACAGGCACGGCACTCCTCGCAGCACTGGTTACCGGAAAATCTGACTCGGTGGCTATCGCACTCGTGCACTTTTGGTTTAATCTGTTCGGCATCTTGTTGTTCTACCCAATCCCAATCACTCGCAAACCCATCTTGTCTTGGGCTCGAGCGCTGGCGTTCTCCAGTGCTGCGTGGCCGTTGACCGCCGTGATTTTCCTCATTGTTCTCTTTTTGGTGGCTCCAGGAATTTTGCTCGGAATGGTTTACATGTGTACTGCCGATCACACTGAAGTGCAAGTGATTGGATACATTCTTAGTGCAATTGTTGTACTTGCACTAGCAGGATTCGTATTCTGGTACTTGAAAAAAGGTGGTCGATCGATCTGGCACTCATTCTTGGAAAAGAAGCGCCTTCAGCGTGAACTTCAGGTGACAAGCGAAGGTGTCAGAATGACCTCCCCAACCCATTTCTCCCATAATGTTGTTTAACTATTTCGAGGATAAAATGCACTAGATTATAGCACAGTTTTCTTGTGTTGAATTTCTATAATATAAACATCCTTCAAAAGGCCCCAAATGTAATTTCTCGTGTGACCACCATATACATAATATTATTATAAAAGGACTGAAAACTTTAGTTTGGCTTCACAATAACATTTTCTACCTTTATTAGATCAACAAAGTTTCAAAAGATGCCACAACGAGGATTGTTGAGAATGTTCTACCTGCAGTCGCATGCCTCACAAGAACTTGTGCTCTTTCTGCCAACGACGCTTTTCTCTGAATTTTACAATGTAAGCCTGAACTTAGCTGGTTTTTTGGCATCCCCTCCAAGTGGACCATACCTGCTTTATATAACATTGCAGAGACTGTACTACATGTTGTGGCTTACACATACAGTAAGCTAAAAATTATTGTTCTTCAGCAATTCACGTTAATGACATATTCCTCGATCAAGGTTCTGATCGCATCACACACACATTACAATTTTGCTAATTTATGAACGACACAATTACTGCGAGTGACAACATTGATTTGCTCACTAAATTTACGATGTTTGGCATTTGCTCCGCGAGATTCGTCCTTATAATCAGCATATATATTACTCGTAGATCCTTTCTATCAGGATAACAGCTCTTACTATATTAACTTCTGTGCAGATACTATTCGTTCGTACTGATGTTATCAGTCACGTCTTTTTACAAATGTTTAACCACCACGTGTATATGTTGGCAGCTATTAAGATGTGACCTAGGATAACTAGACTGCTAGAAAGTCAGCTTGAAGCATGCATGGCGCGACCGGATTCCCAAACCGTAAAAAGTCATCGTGTGACTGCGCCCACGATGACACAACATTATTGGGTTTAGAATGTCAGAAGATTGCGCTTAATGACGTCATATAAATGCTTAGAGGTAACACAGAGTAACGAATTAAGAGCATGCATTCACTCCCAAACTTGCCGCCTAAAGCGTCCTTCATATTTTCAGCAGATTATAAACCTAAGGGACGCCAAACGCGCCGAGCGCATCTATGCCGATCAAATTGACATCGGCCATCGAAGATCCGCGGCGTTATCAGTAGTTCTAGTAGGCACGTTGACCGCTCACGGAAGTGGTGACGATATCAAGGAAAGAATTCTCGCCACGCTCTTCGACATCTAAGAACGGATGAGTCAGATGGAGGTATCTCGCAAGTGAAGTCGAGCAAATGTTCCAAGCATATAGTTGTAGAATGTTCAACTCCACCCTTGGCAACGCCCGAGGGGGCGCGTCGATGCACATCGACCCGCTAGGACCTCCGCCTGTGCTGCAAACGGTCAAGGCCGCACATACCGCGCAGTGCGCGCATGAGACACACAAGTGCAGGTTATACAAGGTGGTATGACCACACAATGATGTGAATACACTTAATCAATAAGTAAGTACGCGGCTGAAACAGCCAGTAGGTATACATTTAATGAGGTTTTAATACTAGGAAAACCTATAGATTTAGGTATAGGCGGCTTTGTCTAAAAAAAACGAGAAATACAGTTTACATACTAAACGGAAAAGCTGATCAGCCTTGGGTTAAGGTTGTAGCTACTCTTGGAGTAAGCAGATTGCGATCCGCTTCCAAGTATATCTGCTTGGTACTGAGGGCGTGCAACACCTCGCTTCGCAAGATCCTGATGCGATAAGCGCGCGTCAAGAGGCGTTTACAAGCTATAAAATTCTCTGTTAGAGCACTCGCAGCAGAAGATGTCGGCGTCGGCTGCGTCCATATCGCCACCGTCGGCGACGGATGACCACAAGCTGCACATGATGATCATTAAATCCTTCAAGGGCAAGGATGGAGAGAATCTCCTGCAAGACCGTGACGTATACCCACATGATTCAGCTCTTGACAGATTCTGTTACTGGTGCTCAAACGCAATTCAACATTTGGACGGAATGTCTTGTTCGGATAAACGAAATATTGGTTATCTATCTCATGTTCCCGAAATTTTCAAGGAAGCCTAAGAAAATTGATACGATTATATTTTTTATTGTGATCGATGATATATTAAAGCTAACCCATCAGTAGTTTGATGCCTCCAAACTGCACACAAGTGTGCGAACAAAGTCGACACTGCGTACTAGACTGAGGCGACCCTTAAACTGTTGAAGATGCGGAAAGGTGAACCCCTGCAGTGCCTGCTCCCTCGAGCATACTCACATCAGAAATTCACTCACCTGAATAAGCGGGCTTTAGAGTTAGCATGTCCGATGTTATAAAAGCCGCTTTGGGTGAAGAAGACGGTGCACTACTCACCGAGAGACATACAGCAGAGCCACACACTAAGAAAAAGACGCTCACTATGACCGATCTGTCCCGCAAACATTACGCCTTCCGTGCCCGTTTTTAATAGTGGAACACATCGCGACACTCAACCACAACTCGCGCCCATGACTAGCTCATAACCAAATAATTACGCCTGGGTGAGGGGGCCCAGCTTACGTCCATAAAAGCAAGAGTCGCAACGACCGTTACCGAAAAATCACTGACCTAATTTTTAAAATGTTTCTCGCCGCCCCGTGGCGAAGGCCTTTCACGCCTTTGCGTGCGGGCCCTCATTTCTATTAGAGGGCGGAGGGGCGCTTGATAGTCGATCCGCGAGAGCATTCTGAACAGAACAGGTAGCGACTCCTCAAGAGTATTGCCTGTTCTTGGAGCAGCAGTTGCCGAGTAGACCCGTACCTCCACGCTGACTATACCTTGGATGTACAATGTACGGAAGCGCGGAAATGTATCGTACTTAACTCGCCTACCGCGTGAGAAAGATACGTCGCTTCAACCGTTTAACAGCAATACAACGCAGCTTGATAGAAGTAAACGCCCGATTTGATCGCCTTTAGTTTTTGTGTTTGCGATGTATGCACCACAGCGTGGGCGTCAATGGGCCAATTTAATATCTCAAATCATTGTCACTGACAGTCCCGCTCACCTCCATGAGACCTAGGATCGAAGCTGGACTGAGGTCATTGCTTCACTCGCTTGTGGTAAACACGCTGTGCTGAGCGATTATTCCCAAGCGACCAAATTTGTGCTGTGCTAGAAGGAGCAACGAAATCAGAGCAATCTTGCCTTCAAACTTCCATGAGTTTGTGAAGGATGGATAACTTTCACTTCTCCAGATATTGCTATTACAGGTGAGCCCACGGGTACACAATCCGCTCCACGCGTAATTTACGGACACGTTGCACATCGATCATTTTTGGCAGAGCTTATACTCCGCTGGCAAGCTGTCATAAGCTTTCTCGGTATTGGCTGCATGTTTCCTATCCCCGGAAATTTACGCGTATGACCGATACCAACATGTACCACGCATCGGATGCGCTCCTCAAGCTACGCCATTGAATGGAGTGTCTTGCGGCATCTGATTCGGTGGAAAAATGTATCGCTGTCCTGGGTAGAAGATATCTCAGCCTTAGGAGACATTGATGACGCATGTTTAAAAGAACGCTTCATACATGACTGGCTCGTAATATTGTGATCGGTATATGACTTGCAAGCCCAGAGGACGGTGAGCTGGGGGTTGAAAACTAGTTAAAATTTCTAGAGCAGTGCTTGAGTGTGTGCGTTATTCGATTGTATAGCCATGATTGACTATGACATCGTCAAAATACTCTGTTAGGGTCGTTTTATAGGATGCATTGACTGTGGGTAAATCACACCAATATCAATGCAATTGTAGAATTGCCAGTGCCTACGCAATTGCTCAAGTGTTGTGCAAATTACGCGAATATGGCACGACCTCTCGCCGGTTCTCTTGAAAAAAATAAGTGGAGCTGCAGCGGGATAGAATCGGCACCTTCAAGGCTTTGAACAGAAGTCTATTGCGTGCCCTAGTTTTGATCCTCTCAAATCGGGTCGGTCAGCTCATGTAGTCTGTGTCACGTCGGTCTATGCCATACTTTCACAGAGAATGTCATAAATTTTATATAGTTTGTCTCGTGTACTTTCGAGGCATGGTACACGCTGAGTTGACGTAGTGTGGTGGTGGGAGATCTCACTATGAATTTCTGCATGCTACAATGGTGCGATTCGTACGGCGTACGGGATTGGTACAGCATGAGTTGACTGTTTTTGATAGATAGCTTCACATAATAAGAAAAATCGAATTCGGGTGTCGATTAATCGAGGGGTCTAGCCGCACATTTGCACCGCAAATTCATTTTCGAGGAATAGCTGTGATACCGTACTGACTCAGCGTTTCCTGGTACGTCAAATGTAACCTCAAAACAGAAGACTGTGCTAGCAAATGATATTCCCATGGTTGATTACCTCGGTAAAGAAAGTATATTATACGGTGGGCGCTACGTAATGGCAACCAAATTTGCATTAAAGGAATTAGTCACCTGCCCACGGACAAATGGTGTCAGCAAATTGAACCCTCGGCACCCGGGTGGGTGCTTTTGAACAGTTCGCCGGTCCCGGCAAGATGTTGGCAGCTAATCACCAACCCTGATATTTTGGTCTTACGGAAGACGTGCCGGTGATACCAACATTGTGTTTTTTTTGGATTGTTCGAACAAGAAAGCCCGTCTCGCTGCTATCAGCAACACCAAAATCGCTGAAATTCAGCCAAACTCTTCTTCGACAAAACATTTGCCAGAATAACTTGCCGGTGGTTATTAATTCGGATTGAAATCCGCACTTCAGGCAAAATTCCAATGAACGTTTTTTCAAGTGCTTGATCCCATATTAGAACTAACATTACCGATCCCCTAGACAGGTGGTCAGATGGAATGTTTTGAAATTGCGGTGAAGACTTTACAGCAATTAGTGTGAGCGATCGCGCAGTCGATATAAATGCTCCCAGTCAGTGAGTTTGTGTTCGTCCCCGTAGTAAAGGCTTAACCCTATTGAGTTCCAGTACTATTCTTAGTCCGAATATCCCCTAGACAGCGCAACAAGTGGCTCGGGTCTCGATGAAGAAGGGTTTAACTTTCTATTTCCTCCCAGTAACAATCAGCCTCGGCAACAATTCGTGGCATAGTTGATGTTGCTGGCACACTATATAAAACCTGGTCCGTAATGTAAACGACGCCTTTAATCTTGCACATCCTTGAAGTCAATTGTTGTGCTCGGTAGCACTACCTAGTTCCTCTAGCTATGTAATTTCGATAGAAAACATGTATATCTTGATATTGTTTGCCAAGGCTCACACTGTATACGTACCGTACTTCGTATCTCACTTCTTTGCAATGCTCGGATGATAAATACATAACGACTTCGTTGCACAAGAGCGACATATTCTTGCCTTTGACCTTACATAAACATCGAAGACGCAGTACAAACCTGGCCAGTTTTATCTTAGCCAAATATAACATTACAATCACACTGAATGCGCGTTCTTATTGGTGAACAGGACGGGTATGGCATGGTTTAAATATATAATGAACACAACGGGTTGTATGAAGATAAGGAACCGGACAAAGTTTAAAGCAGGGTGATGTCTGAATTTATCTAATCCCTCGGTTGGTCTTGAATTATCACATGATATTTTCAGGTTTGATAACAATGTATCGGGCTACATTTTTTTTGTTTACACTCATATAGTGATTGGAAAAGTGATCCGGCTTGCCATGAGAGCTATGCCCATTTAACGACCGGTCAAATGATTCAGTTCGTCGGGGGGGGGCTTTGGAGTTTGCGAAACACCTTCGATTTATCTAGCCACACTAGCAATAAACAAATAAAAATTTAATAGATCCAGATCTTGAAAGCGGTGCACTTAATCTGACTTCAAGTTGAGTAATGTTGTCTTAAATTGTCAGAATTGTGAATTCGTCTTCACCAACGGTGAGAGTAAATGAAATCGAGGCCTGCGGATCTTTGTGATTGCGCTCGATGAAGATGAATCGGGAGAAGAGCCGTGCTTTGTGGTAAGATTTCTACATTGTTGTCATAAATGGTATGGTCTGCTCAAGCCACACTATTTGACGCTGCATCTCGAATGAGTGACGGACAAATTTCTGCTGACATATCCATCCTAGAAAAAGGGTGTTTGGCTATAAGAGGCCATTCCGACTGCGATCAACTCTCGACTAACATCAAAAACGTTTGATGCTTTGAATGCTCCGCTGCTGTTGACAATGCCTGATACGGATTCATTAAATTCAAAAATGCACTATTTTATAGATAAATTGGATAATGGATGTTGGGGGTGGCAAATATTCTACCGTACTTCTTAAAAAAACTCCTGACCTACTTTTGT